AGAATTTCTGACCCTTCAAATTGAATTAGACTATTCAAAAGTATAGATATATTCAAGGTTGGAAGCTATACCCAAGGAAAAAGTTGGTAAAACACCTTTTTCAAGAAATATTCCCAGACATTCACAATATGTTGCTCAAGCCCTGTTCAAAAGAACAGATTTTTTTTCCTAACTATTAAATGTCTTTACTGTAACGTTTGATTAATTTAGTGTGTACTTGCTGAATAAAAGTATTAATTTAAAAAAAAAAAAAGCCCACACAAATGAGAATAAGCCTATTGAAATGAGAAAAGAAGCTGACATGGTGACTTCATCGAAGCATGATTATTCCTGAATGCTTTGCATAACAACAAGCTCAAATCACCATCAAAATTCTGCACCACATACATGCAAGTCACAAGTCACATATTCGCATAGTAGCTAAATACGCAGTAAGCTGTTCTCATTTGGCACACGTATAGCTGTAGGTATGTTATCGTTCTAGTGACGAACTGGAAATGATGGATGAAGGAAGAGGGCTCACACAGAGCTGGGGTTAACATGGCTCTCCTGGAAAGCCTAGCTCCTTGAATGATGTTTTGATCCCAGTAAAAACAGAACGGCCATGCAGCTTGGAAATAGTTTATCTGAGTGGCCCTCGAGAGGCGGGCTGTGCATGTGTGTGTGTGTGTATGTGATGTGTGCCCTCACCCCTTCCTGTGCTCCACAGAGGGGCCAATATTTCACACACAAGAGCCCAGTGTTCAACGGATGTCCACTTTCACCTCGGGATAGAGACCCTTTCATTGGTTGTGCAACTTTCCATTTCTATATATCATATCTTTGAATACGCATCACAAAAACAGACAAAAACAATGTATTTCCAAATCACTTTTGCTTTGAATAAATTAAATGGTTAAACAAAGTGCTGTCAAAATGATTCATCGCAATTATGTTTTTGTATATATATATACATATTTATACACACACATATAGAAAAACCTTTCAGTTAGATGATTAATCGTGATTAATTAGTGCAAATACTCAACTTGTGAGTCATCGTTATATATTAAATACAGCGTATTGCACAGAACATTTGCATTGAAGCAATAGTGAAGATTAAAACACGTTTGCTCTTTGTACTGCATTAATAATCTGTCCACCTAAAATCCACCATTTTTTGGTGAAAAGTATGAGGATGAAAGAGGAAGAGAGGAGATGGCTGGATGACAGGATTTTGTTTGAATAAGAAATTAATGTATGAAATCCAATTTTTTAATATATATATATATATATATATAGTGTGATGTAGTTAATCTGGTTAATTTCTTTTTGGCTAGTAGATGTTCTGAATGGCCGGTAAATTAGTAGCTAAATTGGCCGGTGAGTGAAAAAGTTATATATATATATATATATATATATATATATTCAATATTGATTAATACAGATTAAAAAAAAATAATTAAAAAACTGAAATAAATAAACTAAGTAGCCTAACTACCTAGCAACCACCAGAAGTTCCTAGCAACCACATACTTGTAAATCAGAATACCAGTTTTATAGATCATTTTATTGATATATAAATAATTCATCACTGATGAATAATTGAAACTATAAGCTTATAAGAGCAAAATATTGACTGATTCGAAATGGCAAAGCACAAACAACAGAGTCAAATTCTTACATAAACCCCAATTACGAAGACTCCATCTGCCATATCCTCCAGGAGTTTCACCGGAGTTTCACCATTATATAAGCATCTTTAAATCGCTTTTCAACCACAATGTCACGGCTACAAGCTGAACTGGGACGCTTGAACAGAG